GCAGGTAAGGAACTTCCCTCTCACTTCCCTTCACTTCTGTCCTCAGTGGGCACATTCCCTCCCATCCCATTTCCCCCCTTCCTCCCCTGCCCACTGCTGCCACTGTCCCCAGTTGACCTGGGGGTGGGGAAGTTGACTCCAGAGCCACTCCGAGCCACTCTTGCAGGTGGAGCTAGGCTCCGCTAGAGACAGGGGCAGTAGCAGCAGTACAGGCAGGTTTCCTTGCTCTGTGCCTGTTCCCAGCCTTTCAGGGGGACCGGGCAGGGAGGAGGGACCTGCATGCTGCTGCTGTTGTGCCTGGCTGAGTCTGGCTGGAGTGGACAGGAGCAGCTCTGAAGCTTCCCTCCTTGGGGCAGCTGGACAGAGTGGCAGCAGTGGGGGGAGGGGGGGAGGACATGCTGAGCATGATGGAGTATGGGGGGGAGGGGATTCTTACTTGCTTCAGGGACTTAAAACCCCTGGGTATTGCTCCTGTGGTGTGGGTTACTGAAAGGGGGGTAGGGGGCGTACATGCTACTGCACCCCTGACCCCTTTTGGATCTTCCCCTGCTCCCCCTCTCCTCTTTTTTTTTCTCCTAATTCAAATAACTGTTTAGGTTCAGGGTTTTTTAACTTAGTTTTCCATTTTATACCCAATGATAAGAGTAGTAGCCAACAATAAATCACATTGCTTTTATTCACTAGGTGGTGGAATGTTTCATGTGTATATGTTTGGTTTTTTAGTTTTTGGTGTCTTTTTTTTTAATATTCCCTCTTTAGAGTTTAAACAAGCATGAGGAAAAATCTCCTGGGTACTCCCCCCCCCCCCAAAAAAAAAGCACCTAAATGATATTAAAAACCCAATTTTCAGTTTCAGAGGTGGCTTCCACTCTTGGGAGCCAACACCTTTTTGAAAGACAGATTGCGCTTCCATCATTTAACTGCTCTTAAGGTTTTGCCCAATGACGATAACTATAAATGCAATGCTGGATTGGAGCTTCTGGTTCTAAGCCAACATTAATGAGAGGGTGTGAAGTACAAGATGTCTGGGCTTGATTGGCACTCTAAAACTGATGTTCTGTGCTTAGATAATGCTTGTCAAAGGAACAGATAGAAATGTGTACATGCAGTGGCAGACAACAGCTGCTTTGCAATGTTGGCAGCACAGATATATAAATGTAACCAAAATATTTGAAGTCATGATGTAATTAATATAGAGAATGCCTAAGAAATACTCCAATAACTCCAATCATTTGTATTGCAATAGAATCATCCCTACTTTTTCCTGGATCAGATTGTGCTTAGCACTGTATGCATGCTGAACAAATTTTCTTTCCCCAAAGATTTTTACAATGATGTAACTGTTCACAAACATACTAGTAAAGTTTTGTTGCCCACATTACCTAATGTTACAGTATTGATATTTTATAGACGTTGCTTTCTTATAGTTTTACAGGAATTTCTGCTAGCTTGGTTATAAAGGACTGTATAAGACCCTCTTTCTTACTTGCATGGCAAGCTGTTTGGAACAAGAAAAATATTCATTTATTTATAGAGCAACTTGCACAATGGGGGTCCTTAGCCACAACTGCCTTGTAGGTGATGTTGCAGTACAAATAATTTTTTTTGGAAGATGAACTGTGTCATGATGGCCTCTACTTCAAGGAAATGGTTACACAGTGTTTAAACAAACTTGTGTTGCCTGACAGGCTGCTGACTGGTCTGTGTAGACTAGGACAAGTTGCCCTCAGTGGTGTTATGTGTAGGCAAGAGGAAAAATCTTCTGGGTCCAGGGTTCACTCATGATTAGCTAACAGTGCTGAACTCAACTCATCCTTGTGTAGGCAGACCAAGCAGCAGCATAATGCAATTGCATTTAAATGCAGTTCAGTTTTGAGATGGTATGAATCCGTTTTTATAAACAAAGGCCCTTTTTTATAAACAGAGGTTTAAATGGCATGCAAAACAAACTGGAGCAGTCTGATAAGTGTCTTCTAGCTCCACCTTGTTATCTACTGACTTCTTGCATTTTAACTTCATTTGCAACCACATTATTTCAGTAGATTTATTTTCTTTTTAAACCTTTGACCATACAATGTCTTTGGATTCAGGAGTTGGTGGCATTGAGGCAGAAGCTGTGATGCTGGGTCAGCCAATCAGCATGGTGCTTCCTGAAGTGATCGGTTACAAGCTGAAAGGAAATCCTCAACCTCTCGTAACATCCACTGACATAGTGCTCACAGTTACCAAGGTAAATACCTGTACCACTTTTGACACTGCTTAAGAAGATTTCTTGTAACATCCTAAAGTGCAACACAGGCATTTGTACTTGCATGCATTGTCTTAATGTTAAGAGTGGCCTTAGGAGCCCCCTCTGTGAGAATTTGACATTGATTCCATTCCCTGAGATCCAGTGAAGGTCCTGAGTTACACAAACTCTTTGTCTGCTCTTGCCTACTGATCCATTGCACCACCGGCAGTGGAGTCAATGTCCAGTCCTGCTTGCCCCCTGTTGGCTTTAATATCCTTAGTGAGCCATTCTTTGAGCCAATTATAATCCCAATCCAAGATGTAAAACAGGTTGAGAAGGAACTAGGGTGATGGGAAAAGATAAATGAGTAACAGTGAGGGTTTTAATGATGTCCATCTTTAAACACACTATAACTTAAAACCCCACTAATAAAGTAGGTTAACATTTAGGATTAAGAGTGTGAAAGCAAGTCAGAAAATACTGAAGTTAAGGTTTGGTTTACAATTTTATCACTCCCATATTGCATAAGCATAATGGTTTTTAGTCCTTGCACCACTGCTAGTGACAGTATTTAAGAGTCACTTGGTCTGATTCCATTGAGCTGGAATTCAGAAATCTAGTACACAAGCTCATCATGGGGCACCAAAGCCAAATGCTAAGCAGGATTAGGAAATCTGACATTTTTACCCTCATTTGTCCAAGTTCATCCAAATGTCATCCATCTTTATCTGATTTCAAATGTTCACGTGTCCATGGAGCAAAAAAATCTTGCAATTGGTGGCAGTCATTCTTCCCAGGGCAGCTGATTTATGCACAGGGGCTGTCTCTGATTACTTTTATTTCTGTCACAGTCAGTCTGTATAGCAACTCTCATTCTTTTATGTTTGCTTTCCATAGAAGGTTATGTGGCACATGGGGTCTCTGTTTTTCAAGAAGTTAAGGGAATTGGATTGTATCTAAGAATTTTGTCAGAGACATTTGGTGATAACTGCATTTTGTAAAGTGAAGGATGCTGGTCTTCGTTTTCTTTTCACTTATGTTGGAGTAATTTAGGACTAATTCCAATGCAGTTTATACCAACATTAAATCTAGTGTAACTAAGAGGAAAATGAGGTTCAGAATGACAATTCCCCTGTTTTACTAGAGGAGTGTTAACATTTTCCTATATATTTGGCCCCGATAATGAGATGTAAAGGTTTTTGGTGCTCTGGTCTGTTGTCTTAATGTTAAAGAATGTGGCTTACTAGTGTAGAGCAGCACCTTGTACCTTAGCTCTATGGCTTATAAAAACTAAATACCAGACATGATGCTGAACAATTTTGTTAATGTTATTACAGCACCTTCGCCAGGTTGGCGTTGTGGGTAAATTTGTGGAGTTTTTTGGGCCTGGTGTAGCCCAGCTGTCCATTGCAGATCGAGCCACCATTGCCAACATGTGTCCAGAGTATGGAGCAACTGCTGCTTTCTTTCCAGCAGATGAAGTTAGCATCAGGTACCTGATCCAAACGGGTGAGTATGAAGAGCAGCCAAGTTGAATCTTTCCTTTTTAGCAAGGATTCAAAGGATTCTAGATTGCCCCTAAACATCACAGTGACCGGGTGAAGTTTGTTTATTAAGGCTCCGATTTTGA